TTTGATATTATTAGATTAAAATGTATTAAGCTCTTAATTTAAGTCAAAAATTTCTCGGAACCTGATTTTCCTAGAAATCCCCCATATGATCTATATAAAATTAAATCCAATAACTTTATAAATCATTTTTTTAGGATAAATTTACAACAGTGATAATATATAAATATTTTAAAATAAAAAAGAAGAAAACAACTAAAAAAATTTTTTACTTTATAAGCTAAATATTATTTTTTTTTAATAAAATAAATCCAAATTTAATATTAACTTAAAAAATTTTTTTGTAGTTTCCTTTCTTTCTATTATAAAGTACTTATATATATATAATTTAATAATTTTTTATAATATATTTCAATTAATTTATTTATTAACTAATGTTTTATTTTAATTTTTATAATATAAATTAAATACATTTTATTTTAATTTTATAGATCAAAATGCTAATATTATTGATACAAATAAAATTAATAAAATAAATTTAGATAAAGAATATATAAAAAATTTAGTAATTAATTCAAAGCTTAATAAAATTTTATTAAGAGATATAAAAAAGATAAAAAAAAAGTAATTAAAACTTTTATGTTTATTTTAAATTTAAATTTATTATATAATACTTAAAATATAAATATTTAAATTTTTTCTTTTAATAAAATTATAAAAAAAAAAAAAAATAAAGTAAAAAAAAATGTAAATTTTAAATTCTAATATTAAATATTTAATTAATATATAAATTTTTGAAAAATAATCAAAAATATTATTATTTATTTACAAAGAATTAAGATTAATTATGTGATTTTGAAATTTTATAATGATCATATACCTAATGTCTAATCTTTTAAAAAATAAAAAATTTTAAAGTATAAAATAGTAAAAATTAACTTTTTATTATTGTAATTTTCTTTAAAAACTTTTGCAAACTTTATTAAACTCAAAAATAATTATAAAAAATTACAATTTATAACTTTATTTTGATTTTGATATTCTACCTTCTATAATTAAAATTAGATTATTTTTTTTAAAAAGATAAGAGAAAATGTATAAAAAAATCATATTTTATAATAACATTTCATATTAAGCTTTAGTACTTGGTTGGGCTTCCCTTTGCCTTACCTTTTTGTAATATTACTTGTTCTAAGCTAAAAAAAAATGATACAAATTAAATTAAATTATTATAAAAATCTATAATATAATTAAATAAAATAAGACTATTTTTTTGCTATAATATTGTTATTTTATTATTATATTTTTTTAGTATTTATAAATATTAAAATCTCAAAAAAATAAGATTTTTAGACAATTATTTTTTACAAATTAATTATTAAATTTATTTAAAATCTGTATTATATAAATTTTATTATTAAATAAAAAAATGTATATTAAAAAAAAAAATAGAAGCTTAAAAAGTTTTATTTTATATTATTAAGACTGTTTTAGAAAAATTTTTTTTTTGCAATTTATCATTAAAATCAGTTAGTTAATTTAAATCTTAATTTTTACAAAATTGTATATTTGACATAATCTTGGATTTTACTATGTGAATTTTTATATATAATAATAATAATTTTAGATTTTAATTAAAAAAACAATTTTATTAAAAATGATAATATAAAATATGAAATAAATAAAAGTTTATAATTTTTATTTTGATAAGAAATATAAAATAAGTAATATATTGTAACTGATGATTTTTCTTTAATATTTCAAAATATAATTTTTTTATTAAAGATAATTCTTGTAATTATTTTTAAATTTTAATTAAGTTATAGTATAAGTAATTAAACTATATCACAAATTGCAATTCAATTGTATTATCTTTTAATTATTATATCATCTTTATATTTTATATTAGATTTTATATCAAATGCATTTTTGATAATAATAATAATAAATTTTATTAAATATGTTAATAAAATTAATGATTATCTAAATTTATAAATATTATAATAGATTTATGATTCTTTTAATTAGTATAATAATCACTTAAATAAATTTCTTATTAAAATTATATATAAATTCTATAATATTAATGCTTAATAAATGATTTTTCTTAAATGTTAGATTATAATTTATTATATGTTATGATTTTAAATTTAATTGATTAACTTTTGTTTTTAAATATAATATTACTTTATTTTTGATTTCTTATCTTTTAATTAATAAAGATTTATTTTATTTAATGAACTAATGTTAATATTTATATTAATTATATTATATATAATTCAAATTTTAAATATTTAATATTTTTATAATAAAAAAATAATTTGTTTATAATTATAGAAATAAATAATTTAATTTTCATTTCAGAATTATTTCTATTGCAATCTATTTAAATTATAATTTGGTTTACTAGATTTGAATAAAAATCAATTTACTGAAAATATGATTTAAAATTAGACTATATAATAAAATTTGGTTTCAAATTAGTTTTAGTTTTATAATTGAAATTAAATAATAAATTGTAAAAGAATAATATTATCAACAATTAATTTTAAAAAATTTATTAAAAAATTGAATATACTTTTATAATACAACTATTGTAAAACATAAGATTTCAAAATAAGCAATATCTGCTATTGTATTAGTTTATAATAAACTATAAAGTGATGAATTCTCAATAAAAAGAAAGAAGAAAGAAATATATTTTTACATTATCAATACACTATCAATACACTATCAATACACTATCAATACACTATAAATTATTAATTTACAGATGATAAAGTTTCATATTGTTATTATACAGAATTATTTTCTTCAATTGAACGAAAATAAAAATATAATGGCACCGATATTGCAATATTAAGGAACGAGACGACGCCGATAAGGCAAAGAATTATTCTTTCTGTACGTGTAAATCCAGCTCGTGAATTCATAGGAGATTCTTCTTCAACTTCAACATCCGTCACTTAAATACAATAGATATATTCTGTTAATAATTTGTAACAATAAAAAATAAATAGAATAATCGAATTTCTTATTACTTTGAGGAGATGATGATGAGCCAATAGAAGATCGAAGATCATGATTGAAGTCTGATTCTGTCATTTTTGATGCTTGCAATTTGATCATTGCTTTTCTTAATGATCGTTTACCAAGAATAGATAAAGCAATCACACAACATGCTACAAAGATAAAATTCATCGTAATAATGACAATGTCTGTGAAATAAAAATGATAAGTTAAAAATTAAGAACTCTGACGTGAATGACGTGAATTTATTTTGCAAGTTTGAACTTACCTTTATTTTCTAATTTTGGTTTATCAATCCGACTCAAGCTCTTTACCAGCGACCCAATCCAAACAGCATTAAAAGTTCCGGGCAAAACACCAAGGGCAGTCGCCCAGAGGAAAGGAAAAAGCTATGGATATAAAGAAATTAGAGATAAATTCGTGTGATTTATAAGCAAAAAAAAAAATAAATAAATATTTTTTTAAAAAAATCTTATTAAATTTGCATAATTGATTTATCACTTACATCGATAGAACTTACTGAGAAGAAATAACTTATTAGGTTGAAAGGTATCGGAGTTAACCGTAGCATCACAACAATCTTCCATCCTATTTTAATTATCTAAAATAATTAAAATCATTCAAATTTTTAATTGATATCTGTCAAAATAAAAGGCGTACCTTCATCTGTTATAACACTATCGAGTGCCGTAAACATCGGTTTCTTTTTAATTTGAGCCTTTACCCAATCTGAAAAAACGTATCTACCAAAAATAAATGTACCGAAAGCACCAAAAATATCTCCAACAATGATAATGGCACCGGCTAATATTGCAGGTTTGAACAAAAAACCTGCGGCAATGCTTATTAAAGACCTTCAAGAATATATAAAAGGGGAATCGGATTCAAAATTTCTTAAAAATTAAAGTTAATACTATATAGTTCCATTTGAAAGATCAACTTACCCCGGTAAAAATAACCATATACAAATAGTGTAGATGGCTAGATAAATCAAGATCCCATATTTCTTATGTTTTTCAATAAGTTCCAGATAATCTTTGATATGATCTTGAATTCTAAAGACCTAATCAAATTAAAGGGATGTTAGACATCGTTTTTTTTGTATTTGTATAGAAATTTTAAAAACTTAATACATACGACCAAAAGAATCACAATTATCACAATAAACGTTATCAATAAAACTAGTTTAATGAAAGTTCTTGAATTATAAAAATGTTTCCCTCGCTTATTTCTTGTAGAACCAGTTGTTTCAACTTGTTTTTGTGAATTTTCGTTTGGTGATAACAAACGACTTGTTTCGTCATGGTCTTCATTATCTTCCGGATATTCTGTTTGTGCTTCACGCAATGCATTCATAATTGGTGCTTGAATTTGAATTGAAAGTTCGTCAGCTGCATCATTCTGTGGCGTCTCTGGTGACATTTTAAAGAAAATATATCACTTAAGAAACAACAAACTATAATTTTGGTTTCGGAAAACCCTTTAGATTTGATCAACCGATCGGGGCCAAATTGGACTAACGACTTATAAAACCATTAACATAAGTCCAGTGATTAAAAATAACTGATTGAAAATGATTTCTTATTAACTAAAAATAAATTATAACTATTGATAATATATAACATATGGGTCATACTAGCAAAATGTACCTCCCGAGACCCTGTCAAATTTATGATTTTTTATCAGAACCTGTTTACTATATAATAATTTAAGCATTTTTGCATTTTTTTTTCTAAAAATAAACAGTAAACAATGATGTAATTTATGACAACAATTACATTTTGCGTCTATGACCATATTTTTAAAAAAAAATACATAATTTCTTCGAATATTTATTTTATTTTATATATTTCAATAAAGATTTTGTGGAACTACCGCACTAAAAAAAAATATTTTTAAAAACAAATATATAAAATAAATATACACATTAACTTATATTAAGGTAAGTAATTAATCTTTTTCTTTGTATAATACCACTTTTAGCTAAACTAATATAAAAAATGCTAAAAAATATTTAGAAGCTAAGAAATTATTAAATAATAAGTAATAGCAGTAGCAAATATATTTTTATTAATTTAAAAATTAATATAAAAATAAAGTTTAATTAAATACTATGTAGAGTAGAATAGAAAAAATATTTTATATTAATATTGTAAATAATAATAAAATCAAAATAGATTTTAATTCTTTTTTTAAATAAATTTAATTTTATTATTATATATTATTACTAATTATTAATAAAAAAAATTATTTTTTATTATTTATATTTATATTTTAATGTATAATAGTTAATAAACTCTTATTTTTTTGTTTATTTATTTTAAAATTATAGAAATACTTCTTTTATTTTTTTTTTTGTGAATGAATTTGATAATAAAAATAGTATTAATAGATTTTTTTGGCCAAGTAGTAATAATGTATTATTTATTGTTTTTTAATAATATTTTTAATTGTTGATCTACATGTGCTTGATAGAAATTACAATAATAAATGTAATGTTAATATATTTAATAAAAAAATTTATTTTAAACCTCCTATTTTTAAGTTATTAAATATTTATATAACTTCAAGTAAATTTATTATAACTGGTAATATTATATACTTTCCTAATATAGATCATAAAAATTTTTAATAGTATTTACATTATTAATTTTTTATAGATTTTTAATTTTAATTTTTCAAAAAGTTACATATCAATTAATATCCAATTTTTTTTATTGAAAAATTATATCAATTAAATTTATTTATACTAATTAATATCTCTCTCTCTCTTTACATAGGATATCCTTTAGCTTTAACTATAGCTTAAATATATTAGCCTATACTTTTAACTAAATTTTGATAAATCAAAATATTTAATTTAATTCATTTCTTTTATAACAATTCAAAAAATTCCATTTCATTTTTTAGTAAAGAAATATGCTTATGAATATGATGTTTTAATTCATCCTAAATATTTTTTTTTAATAAGATTGAGATTAAAACTCTATGCAGATTAAAAAAGTTAATCAATATTATTTTGTGAAATTTATTATAAAGTTGTAGTTACTTAATGAATTAAAATATTATCTTATTAAAATATATAATTATTTTAATTATAATTATCTATTTCTTCTAAATAAAATAACAAATGATTATTTAAATTATTAATATAATTATTTGCATTTTGTCTATTATGAATATGAACTAAAAATAAACTTGATTATTTAAATCTATATACAGTCAACTTTTTTTACAACAAATTTTAATAAAATGAATTTTACAATACAATAGATTTTTAGTGTAAAACAGATTTTTAAATATAAATAAACCTTACTATACTGAATTTGGTAATTAAAAATTCATACTACATTTAACAAATTAAAGTTAAAAAAATTTATATATAAAATGACTCTTTTTATAATGAATTGTCTCTATAATGAATTTTTTTTTTGATACAACAAAGTTTTGCTTAACTAGATTTAGTTATATAAAATTTTGTATCTCTAGCTTTTTAAATAAAATGAATAATGAATAAATATTTCATATTATATATTATGTCTTATGTTTCATGATAATTTTTTTTTTACATGTTTAATTTTTTTTCTTTGCATAATGCTAAAAGTAAACTCAAAGAAATAACTTAATGAACCTACTAACAAACAAGATGAACCTTTTAAAAAAAAAATAAAAATCTCTTATAGCTGCAAAAAAAAACTTTGTTTGAAAAAAATATTATCATTTTTTTTAAAATAAAAAGACTTGGCTAATAAATATGCTGTTAGTAAAAGCATGGTTAGTGCTATTTTAAAGAAGAAAAACCATTGACTTTTTGTGAATTCTAATTTATATCAAGCCAATTTGAAATGTAATAAAAAATTCTATTCCCTCTTATTAAAGAAGCGTTAGCAATTTTGGTAGATAACGAACTCAAAGCTAACCTCATTATTACAGATAATATTCTTTCAACAAAAGTCTTGAGTTTTGCTTTTTTATTAAAAAAGGATAAGTTTAAAAGGTTAAATGATTGGGTAGACAAATTTAAAAAATGACACAACCTTAAATAGTATCATATATAAGGGAAAACTGCAAGTGCGTCATTCAAAGATCTTAAAATAATAAGAGAGAATTTCTGACAAATATTAAAAGATTATAGTCTTGAAGATATATTCAATTATAATAAAATAGGACTTTTTTGGAAGATAAAACTATATCAAACAATATCCAATGAACAAATATTAGAAATGAAATAATCAAAGAATCATGTAACAATTTTACTCACGTGTAATATAACGGAAAGTAAAAAACTAACATCTTTGTTCATATATAAGTATAAAAATCCTAGGGTTATTAAGAATATTAATAAAAGAATACTTTTGATCGAATACTATTAAAACCTAAAAAATTAGATGCAGGTTTCAATTTGAAACAATTACATAAAAAACTTAATACAAAAATGAGAAGACAAAATCAGAAAATTATTTTTCTTATAGATAATACTCTGATATATACTCATTATAAAACCACCTGTCTGAAAAATATCACTATTCAATTCCTTCTCCTAAACACTACTACACATCTCTAATCTTGTAATCAAGGTATTATAAATAGTTTTAAGGTAAAAAATATAATTAATTTAATAATTCTTTAGTTTAAAATATAATTAATATTAACTTTATTTATACTTGATTTTAATTCAACTTATTTTAGATATAATATCGAAAGTTATATTTATAAAATCAGATAAAAATTTTTGATAAATTTAATGAATACTGTATTGAACTCTCTGAAATTAATATTAAAAAGTGTATAAAATATGTTTCATAAGTATAAGATAATGTTACAAATAAAAAAATTAAAAATTGTTAGGTGAAAGCAGATATTTTACCTAAAGATAATCATGAAAATAAGGATGAAATTGGTAATAATATATTACTTGAATTTAAATAGTTAAAGGAGATGAAAAAATTTTAAGTATTAATTTATAAACTAAATTTTAACAATCCTTTTTCTGCCAAAGAATTTGTTAAATATGATAAGTCTAAAATTATAAATGAAATGATATCTAACAAAGAAATTTTAAAAGCAGTTTTACCTATCAAAACAATAAAATAGAGGAAGATTTTTTATTACTAATAATTATTTTTGGAGAAGTTATTAAGACTTATAATAAAGTAATTTTATATTTGAAGTAATAAGAAAAAACATTTGGTATGAAAAATAAAGAGTTAAAGTTTATTAAAAAGCTTAGAGAAAAAGCTTTAAAATAACAGTTTGTCTCTTCAAAACAAACTAATTTTAATACATTTATTACTATAACAGAATAATAATTTAGTGGATTACTATAATAATAATTAATAATGTTTACGGTTTAGTTTTTTTTTACTTTTTACAGATTAAAATGACATTATAGTTACATAAAATTTGATGTATTAACTAATAATACCCCTGTGATCATGTTAAAATTTTGTTGAAATTGTGTTGAAAAATCACAGTTTTTTATTAATTTTTAACCAATTTTTGTTAAACTTGTGTTGAAATTGTTTATTGATTTTTTTATTAAATTATGTTGAAAAATTTTATAATGATTTTTATTTATTATCAAGGTGATGATTTGTTATTATTGATTTACTTTGATTATCTGATATATTATATTTATTAATTTGCATAAGTTATTTTTAGATTGATCTAATTTTTATAAATAATACAATGTATTATTATTTTGATTTTTTGTTTTTATACAAATCAGAATTTTGATCATAAAGAATTCTTTTGTATTATTTCAATCATGAGTTTTACTTGTTATATTTGGATTGATCTAATTTTTATAAATAATATGATGTATAATTATAATACAATGCTTAAATTATTATTTTAACTTTTGTTTTTAATATAAATCAGAATTTCAATCAAGATTATATTATTTCAATCATGAGTAAAGAATTTCACAAGATATCAAATCAAATAGATAAATTTATTTATAAAGGGAAGTATTTTTTACCTTTTGAAATTAAACTAACCTTTAAATTACTTTAATTTACTTTTTAAATCATATTTTTTTACAAACACAAAAATGACTACAAGAATAATCTGAAAGGATAATAAAATTGACTTATTAGTTTATGAAAGAAGAAGGAAAAATAAATAGTACTATATTACAAAAGCAATAAGACAAGATTCTGAAGGAATATAGTTAACAAATCAATTGAAGATATGATATGGTATATTCAACTTACTAATACGAGTTGAAATGAAGGAATTTAGTATGAGATTACAAAATAAGTTAATAAATGAATAACAATATAATAATAAATATAACTTAAAAGTATAATTAATATCTTTTAGGACTTTTGTGATTATTAAAATGAAGCAAGAAGAGGTGAAAAGTGGATCTATACTATAGAAAGATTATATAATCTCTTTAGAACTCAATTTTGGGATAG